GTGTACCTCTGGTGCAAATTACTGACCTCTGTCATCATTTTAGGTGGGGGAACTTGCACAATCGGTGGCTGACTAAATACTTTTTTGCCCCACTGTATATTATAGGTTAACCATGTGCATAGTCAGTTCTGCCCTGATGCTCTATTAAATGAACAAGTCATAAATCACACATGATATTTACATTTAATTAGAAAGTTTCCTACCGAGTGTCTCAGAACAGAACAGCAGTGCCACCATCACAACAAAAGACATGGTTGAATCTCTGACTTCTTTGACTCTAAAATGTGGAACTGTGAACGAATGTGTTAGAGATATTCTTTTATCAAGCACTCAGATGTGATGAAATAACACTCAGACACTTCTGCAATTTAACGTGCATGGGTGAGAGCTCAGCGGAGACTCACACACCCTGCAGCAGCTCTCTGCCTTTATTTATACACAGCATGAAGCATACAAAAAAGGAAATAACATGCTTATCTAGTCAAGCAGGCAGGTGTGATTTCTCAAAACGTTGTGTTCTCTACAAGGTCATTTCTTATTCTTGGGTGGCGGTTTCCTGTTGCTGACAGATAATGTGACAGCAAACAGTTTCCGTTATAGAGCAGAGAGCCAGCGGTTAATTGTGCAGCTGGTTGAGTACAAACAGAAATATAAACACTCTTAGCTGATTATTATATGAATAATAAAAAACACAAAAGCAAAAATCCTTTGACAGAATGAAAGGACAACAGTGTTACAACTACTGGCTGCAGTCTTATAGGGCAAAAATAAACACAAGACACTTTGTCATCAAGTTTCCAAACCCTGTTTTATTGCTTGATTTTGTGCATGAAATTGCATTCATTTATCTGAAACTCCATTCATGTACATGAATTAACATTTTGCTTTAATGCACAAACAATGCATTAATTAAAGCTTTGACATTTGAGACGTTGTTGAAAGATATCAAGCACATCTTGTAATGAGTGGTAAATAACCAAAAGCAAACAAAAACATTTCCCAGATCTATTCACAGGTTTAGAAAGTTTCCTTTGACACAGTTAAAAGGAACAGGTCCCCATTTTATCTGAAGGGCCAAACATATGATGGAGACATTAAGAATTTATTATTAGTTAATTATTAGTAAAACATTTAGAATTCAACAGAATAAAAAAGTCTTATTGTTATTGCTCAACTTTCCCCATGAGCTACAGAAAGATATCAACATGATGGCTGAAATTGTTTCAGACTATTTGCTTTTTAACATATAAAACTCAAGTGTAATCCTTACAGTTAAGGTAAGATTCCATTCACTGCATTTGCAGTGATACCAAATTCCTCTTTAGTATGGAACATTCTTTAGGTTTTATATGTTAAGCAAAAATGCTTCCACGAAAAAACAGACGTGTAATCCAAGAAAAAGGAAGTTGCATCTTTTCACAGTGCGAGAAAGAGAAAGAGAAATAAGCAGAACAGCAGACAATCTTGCTTTTGCCATACTTCAGTTTGCAACCTTGTTACATATTCAAATGGACCTGAATTTCAGCTGAATTCAGCTGTCACAACAAGATTTACATAGTTTTGTGTTTTTTCCATAATTTTCTCACAAAGTATCATGAAACAATCTATATGATTTTCTTTCAACAAAAGCATTTGCAAAATTATTCTGTCTTAAAAGACTCTTTATGATATCACGATTGTATTTCAATATACAGACAGCATGTAATAAAATAACAAAGTTTTAGTATTTATGTGTTTCCATTAATGGAATAAAATACAATTAAAGGTTTCCTCTTTCGTGAGTTTTGCCTTGGTGTTCAGTTTCAGAAAAACTGAACTGACAAAAAAAAAAAGCGTCAATTGTTTCTATAAGTGTTAACATTGTTTAATCAAAAAGAAAAATGTTGTTGAGTCTCAAGCTTTCTATAACCAAGAAGTGAAACCATGAAGTTTTTCCACAGAGCCACAGGGCCAGGCTCCATCTCACAGCTGTTATTTATGAACTTCCTGTCAATTCCTTGTTTCACTGCTTCAATTCTGTCGGTAGCAACTAAAACATTTGGTTTACAAAACAGTTTTATATTTGAATTTGAATCAGACATGATTTTTAGGACAAAAATTGGCAGCATGTTGTATTGAATATTCTTTTACCACGTGTTTGATATATTTGGTTACTTTTTAATTCACGCAAGCTTGCTGCATTTGGAAAGATAACCAATTCTAATTTCAGATATATTTTTACACCCCTTTTTCCATTCTTAGGTCACTTTGAATGTTAAATGAACTTTAAACAATGTTAAATTATGGTGCCACTAGTTATTTATATTTTTACTATTTCATAAACATTCAAAATAATACAAAGAAGACAGTGATCAAAGCAGAAGTGGTAACTTCTGAAATATCAGAGACTGATAGGTTTGCCTTTTTGTCAAGAACTGTGTAGTTATTAGTTGACCCACTGACTGAGGAAACACCTTAAACCTGCTTTCTTGAACAGGAATCAGAAACACTTTTTTTGTTTGCTTTCAACATAAAATCTCAGAAGAAGAAAACCGTTTCGTCAGGATCAACAAACATCGATTCTTTTGTTTCAGTCCTCTTTCTAAAATTTTAAAATGATATTGATGATGTCTTTGCAATGTATAAACTGAAAAAAAACAGAGCCATATAAAAAAGTTATGACTTCAAGTTTGTTATAGAAGCCAGTCATTTTCTTCACTGATAACTACATTAGTCAAAAACAATAAATCCCACCTCCAAGCCTTCAAAGCCGACTGTACTTCCTCAGGAGGCTGAGGTCTTTTAACATCTGCAAGAAGCTCCTGAGGATGTTTTAACAGTCTGTGGTTGCAGGAGTACTTTTCTATGCTGTGGTGTGCTCGGGGAGCAGCACAGCAAAGAAGGACTCATCCAGGCTGGAAAAACTAATCAGGAAGGCTAGCTCTGTGGTCGGCATGAAGCTGGACACTCTGGTGACAGTGGCAGAGAAAAGGACACTAAAGAAACTGCTGGACATTATGGACAATGCTGGGCATCCTCTGCACACAGTCATAAATAATCAGCGGAGCCTATTCAGCGACAGGTTGCTTCTCCCAAAGTCAAGAACCAACAGACTTAAAAACTCCTTTGTCCCACACGCCATCAAACTGTTTAACTCCTCATTGGAGGAGAGAGGGAGGGGAAACAGGAGGACAAAGGAGGGGGGAACATCTGAGCTGTAGTACTTTTTTTCTCTGTGCAATATTCACAATATTTTTTCTTATATTCGACTGTGCAATAATCACTGTGCAATATACTCACTCAAATGTGCAATCCACTGGTATTCCTATTTATCCATACTATATATTCTGTATTTATATATGTGTATATATGGCATATTTATGCTTATATCCTTATTCTCATTCCCCTTTATTGTATCTGTAACATGCAACTTCTGTCAGTGCTGTGCTACTGGAAACTGAATTACCTGGAGGAACCCACCCGAGGGATTAATAAAGTTTAATCTAATTATCTAATCTAAACTACTAATCAGTTCTCATACACAATCATGTAACATCAACCTGCCAATCATCACACCTCTGTTTTAAGTGACACCTTCCTCCTCCTCAAAGTAAATTCTACACTGTCATTAATAGAGTAATCCTCAGCCACTTCTATGAAAACAATGTACTCAAGAATTCAGCTTTTTTAAAACAATATTTAAGTAGTTTTAAGCCCCGTTCTATATTATAATTCCATAATATTTCTCTAAATTCATGTGAAGCAGATTAAAAAGCTGCCTTGGTTTAATGTTAGCTCTGGTTTCTCATTTTATGTACTTTTGGATATCATAGCATCTGACA